CATCTATAGCCATAGGAGCGTTTCAGCATAATTGATTAGACGTTTTCACCATTGTATTATTTTTTTTGCGTTCAACTGTGCGCTAATCCTTATACCCCTGCGTCACACAGTTAACAGAGGCACTGGCAAGCGTAGCTAGGTGTAATGTCGCTTGACTGAAAGGAGAGAGCCGAGGCGTAGGCCCAATCCCATCCAAGTCAACCTTCTTCAACAAGCAATAATACACGCAGAATAACTTCGTGATTTAAACAAATAACACACATTTGCCGTTGTTGCTTATCATTTCATCATCATTAAAAGCCCCAAACTTTGCCCGAACAGCAATTAATGGCCCACATACCGTTGAGATTGTTGTTGTAGAGCGACACGAGCCACTCGAGTCCCTTGATCTGGTACTCCTTCAGCTTTCCGTTAACCATGATGGATGCCTGCTCCGTCACAGTCTCGTGAATGGCGTGGGCGATGCTGGAAAACGGAACGATACGAGTCAGCAAGGTGACATACAGGACGATGGCGAAGTACCCGGCGAATGAATCCGTAGTAATAACACAACGCTATCATGTGAGCTTGATGAGGGACACAGGTCGTTCAAAAGCCCCGAGACATACGGTTTTTGTAGGTCATCCATCAACTTTTCCAATACAGCTACCGCCGGTGATCTGGTAACCATCACCGGTGATCTGGCAACCATCACGCGGCGACCAAGCAGCTCTACACCTCGTCGCCGCGCGTCTCTGACCTGTAGTAGTTGGCCTCGCCCATCTTCTTGTACTCGTCGTCCTCGGTCTTGGCCTTGGCGATGACGGTCTGCGTGCGCTCCTCCTCGCTCAGTTCGGCGAGCTCCTTGGCCGACCTGGGCGGCCGCTCCGACTCCTGGTCGACTTCCATCTCCTCGTCCTCGTCGGGCGCGGCCACCCAGCCCGGGTGGGCCTCCAGCCAGGCCTGGTGGACAGGGGGGTGTTAGTGGGAGCTCAGTCCGCCACCCAGCCCGGGTGGGCCTCCAGCCAGGCCTGGTGGACAGGGAGCGGTGTTAGTGGGAGCTCAGTCCGCCACCCAGCCCGGGTGGGCCTCCAGCCAGGTCTGGTGGACGGGGTGGGCGGGGGGGGGGGGGGGGGGGGGTGGGGGGGTGTCAGTGGGAGCTCAGTCCGCCACCCAGCACGGGTGGGCCTCCAGCCAGGCCTGGTGGACAGGGGGGGGGGGTGTCAGTGGAAGCTCAGTCCGCCACCCAGCCGGGGTGGGCCTCCAGCCAGGGCGCCTGGTGAGGACTAAGTTAAGTCAGAATGTAACATAGTATATGACCACCGCCACGTCATACCCGGCTGTTGCTCTAACCAGGCCTGGTGGCCAGGGTAGGGTGTCACGGTGCGTCCATCACCGCCGTCACCCACGTGCACAGGGCGCGAGAGGTGTCAGTGTGGCCTCAGTCTGTCGACGTGGTATGTTTAAACCCAATCAATGCCTGTCTCGCTCGCTAATTAGCTATTATTCATTAGCGGTGGAATTCACCGACGTTGTAGACAATGATCCCGGTTTTGAGCTACATTAGATGGAAATAGGAAGATGTGCGCTATTCCTTATACCTCTGGGCCATTCCGGCCCCCAGAGGTACTGGCAGGAGCAGCTAAATATAATGTCGCTTGACTGAAAGGAGAGTGCCGAGGTATAGGCCGAATCCCATCCAAGTCAAGCTACTCTCCTCCAAAAATGCACTCACAAAAAGTCGCATGCATGCATTCTGCGGTTTGCCGCGCGCATAACAATCGATTTATCACCGACACCATCACGTCCTATCTCCCTCACTAACGGCCCGCAGATGAGATGAGACACATCTGTAACGTTCTAACTTCAAATCCCCCCCCCCCCTGGCCTATCGCGTGTCATTTGGTACGCCTCGCCCACCGCTCCTCCCGCCCTGCCCCTCTCGTGAGTCGACCTGACCGACCTGCAGCTCAGAGGCGAGCGGCGCATCCTCTCCAGCCAGCGTCATCCCGCTCTCTGTGTTGGTGACGCAGACACGCCGGTGCTCCGGGTCATCGTCGCCGCTCTTGGCGTGCTCGCGCTTCTTCTGTTTCAGCTCCTCCTGCGGGGGACGCGGCGGTGATGATCAGGGCGGGACGCAGTCGATGTTAAAATTCAGAATACCACCAATACAACAGCAGCTCTAAAAACAACATCCATATCGTTGTTAGGCCTTTGCTATTTATCCAACACATATTCACACATTGTCATTCGTTAGCCCATGCTTGATGCATTCATTTCATTATCATCTACAGCCATCGTAATGATCTTGAAGTAAATCATACCCATCCTCGGCTGTCCCACATCCCATCTAGTCCGGCTGCCACGTCTCGTTCCGCAGCCAACCCTGGGTGATGTGGTGACCTCTCAGTATCGCTTGACTGAGAGGAAACTGGCGACAGCCTAGCCAGCCTGATCCCAGACAAGCTTTACCATCGACCAAACCACTCTGACCTAACTTCAGCAAAGTCTGACCTCTAAGCAGGCTGATCCTCCCGAAAATCGAATATGTGACACTCCTGGGCCCTGTTCCACGGGTACGCCGCTACAGTGCACTACGCCTAACGGTGTATTGGTGCGGAATTAGCCTCAACCCTTCAGCGTTGCGAGCGTCCGAGTTTGTTGATGTTTCCATGGAAACCCAATACACCGCTACGCGTAGCGTGCTGTAGCACAGTGCCGTGAAACAGGGCCCAGCTGCCCAACACTGCTGCCGCCCCTCCCATACACCTCTCTCATCCAGTGGCCAGTCCGACCTACCTTATGCTGTTTGACCATCTCTGTGAGGTTGGCGATGTACTCGTCGGTCTGCTGCAGCAGCAGCGCCAGCCGTTTGTCCTTCTTCTGGTCGATCAGCTTGCGGTAGCCCTCCTCGTCCTCAGCCATCAGGCGGCGCATGCGCTCCTTCTCGATACGCTCCTGCTCCTTCTGTTTCTCGCGCTCCGTGTTGGCGTGGTGTACCTGGACGGCGCGGTTCAGCTTCTGCAGTCGCAGCTGGCCGGCCTTGTGGAACTCGCGCAGCTCCTTGCCGTGCTGCAGCACCGCAGCAAGATACTCCTGCGGAGGGGAGAGTAGACACACCTCAGGGAGAGTGACAGAGATATTGGAGAGTGCACAGAGGCACGTCAGGGGACAGAGAGGAGCATCGGGGGGGGGGGAGGGAGAGGGGGACACCGACATGTTAGTGGGCATGCAATTGTGAATTGACCTCGTCTAAAATTGACTATGTATGCAGAATGCAGATGCATATTATATAATATATACCTAAGACATCCTTATGATAACGAGTTGGTGATGAATGAGTATTAATGGCAAGGTGTAGTACAAATAAACGTGGAGCAAATGAAACTCAAACTCCAATGCGTCCTTCCTGCTCCGATATAATATTGCCTTACCATGTGCTTCTGCCGTTTCTTCTTTTCGGCCTCGTAGCGCTGCTGTTTCTCCAGTTTCTCTGTGATACGGGCCTCACGCAGGCCCTGGCGCTTCTTGCGTTTGTAGGCGGTCACGTGTAGTGCTGTCTCCAGACTGGTGTCTCTTCGTGTCATCTCCAATACCTGGGGTCACGGGGAGCACCAATCTAGGTCAGACGCGGCATTAGAGCTGCTGCCAGAGGGAGGGGCGTAGTTTTGGACCCAAGCTGCTCTCGAAGCGAGCATTTGTACATCAAATAAAAGGGCGCTAGTTCGTGTTGATCAATTAACTATTATGCCTATGTGCCAGCATACAGTAACTTAAATTAACTATATGAAAAATGTAGAATAACATCACCCTCACTGTAAACATTATTTGGAGATACATCTTATATGATGAGAATGCCTAATAAAGCGCCCAACCAGCGGCCCAACCAGCCAGCTCGCACAGCCAGCTCCCGCACAGCGCCACTGCCGCCCACGCTGTCAGTGCGGACTACCGACCTCCCTGCGCAGCTGTCGCTGGAAGTTGAGCAGCCGGAGGGCGCGCAGCTCGATCTGCGAGCGCAGCCGCACGTCCTCGGCCATCGTGGCCGGCAGGCCGCTCAGCTCGTCGATCCGGTGCGAGATGCGCGTCACCAGCCGGTTCTCGCGCTCTTTGAGCAGCACCAGCGGGTCCAGGCCGGCCGGCTTCTGCAGCGGCGTCACCTGCACGGAGCGAGGGACGGTGGGGTCAGCAGAGAGGGGTGGGATGGGGTCACCTAGAGGGGGGGAGGAGAAGGTAAGGCCGGAGTACAGCCGGCTTCAAGTCGGATGGGCGTGTCAAGCCTACCATCGGTCAGAGACGGGGTAAAGCAAATGAAAAAACGTACTACAATTAGATACGACGCCAGAAATTGAAAGTATCTAACTCAAACATCCAAGAAAACGCACGCAAGAATCAGCCAGGAATGGACGAGAACGACAACCCCTGACACTTCTATTGGCAACCCCAGCCTACCCGTCATCTCACCTTGTTCTGTTTGGCCTGTTGCAGCACGGCGCCGGGCTGCGCCGCCGGCGGCTGGGCCGGGGCCGGAGCGGCGGGCGCAGCAGGCGGCACCGCTGGACTCGGCGCCGGCGCCGGGGCCGCGGCCGCCGCCGGCGACGGCGCGGCGGCAGCGGCCGGGGACGGCGCCGGGGCCGAGGTGGGCGGCGCCGGCGGCCGCGGGGCGCCCTGGCCGGGTGGCGGCGGTCCGGCCGGCGCGGCGTGGCCCGGCGGCGGGGTGCGCGCCGGAGGCTGGCCCTCGGCGGTCGGTGGCGCCGCCGGGGCCGCCGCCGGAGCCGACGGCTGGCTCTGGCTGAACGGTGGCGGCGGTGGCGGCGCGTCCGGCCGCTTACCTGAGGCACAACACACATTGGTTAATAATGACATGCAGCGATCCAGCTCCAGGCAACGCTTTGTAACTCAAACACAAACAATATGCAACAACGAAGATCTACAGATGGCATGTTTACCAAACACAATTCAAAACAATCATATAATAAAATAGCACCTTAAGACTATTTGAAACATTGATCCGCCTTTGTTCATGCAAGACGTCCTGTTGGAAAAGAAAATAATACCTGATTATTTCTAAAAGTCAGGGTGCAGTCGCATGCCGTGTGTCACGTCATATTGATAGCATTCAAACTAGAAACATATACACGATATGAAGATTAAAAATACATCTGTCGACCAAGCATTGCTGGAACGCACCTGCGATTGCGAGGTTCAGGTAGTTGGTCGGAATGGGCTGGTTACGAGCGAGCAGCCGGTAGGCCATGATCTGCGCTTTCAGCTGTTGCAGCTGCTGCTGTTGGAACATGCTGCCGGGCGGCGGTCCGGGCGGGCCGGGCGGCGCTCCCGGCTGGCCCGGCGGAGGGGGGCCGGGCGGTCCGGGCCGCTCAGCACCCGGCGGCGGCGGCCGAGGCCCGTTCATCTGACTCGGGTGCCGGTAGCCAGCTGCCTGTGTGCGAAGAGAAACAGATACCTACTTAATGGCAAAAGAAGCACAGAAGACAACAGAACGGTACATTTCCGACGGCTGACAGGAATATCAAACTTATTGATGGGACGAAAAGAAACCGAGTAAAATGAAAAAAAAAATATGCGTTGCATATAAAGAATCACACCACGCTACTCCCGCTACTGAACAGTCGGACCCGGGGGCGGGAGCCGGTCGGGAGCAGCTACCGTTCTAACCTGTTGGTGTTTGGCGCGGATAGCCAGCAGCTGGCTGTAGCGCGCGTCGTCCTGCAGTCCCTTCTCCTCCATGCTGGTGATGGCCGCCTGCAGCGCGTTCAGGCCGTACTCGGGAGCACCGGCGGCCGGCGGCGGCGCGCCGCCCGGGGGTCCGCCGGGCGGCGCTCCCGGCGGACCGCCGCCTGCACTGTACGCGCCCTCCGGCGGCGGGTGCGGTGGCGCGCCGGCGCCGGCCGGCGGCGGCTGCCAGTGGTGCGGCGGCGGCGGCTGGCCGGCGCCGGGCGGCGCGTACGGCGGCTGACCCGGCCCGTGGTGAGGCGGTCCCATGGCCGGCGGCCCGGCCGGCGGCCCGGCCGGCGGCGCGCCGTGCGCCATTGCCATGGGTGACGGCGCGCGCGGCGGACCCATTGGCGAGGAGGTGCGCGGCACCGGACTGGGCGACACGCTGGGCCGCGGCTCCGACATGGCGGCTGGCTTAGCTGGCTCTGTTCAGCTCAGCTTAGCTCACAGCTGCCACCAGGCAGCGGTCCTGTCAGAGCCAGAAACACAACTGTCAGATCTTTCTCTAAAAAGAATCAGGAAAATGTATGCAAAAAATGCTCGTCATGACAGCACGTCTTAACAAGAACTTAAATATAGTGTGGATGAGAAATAACAACAGAGATCACTATCAAACCCTCCCAGCTTAACAATATATACATTTATGTTCAAAAGAAGATTATAATAATAATTGATCACAACAGTGACAATTGTGTGACTTGCTAAATGCTAGCTCATTCATATTTGAGTTTCTTTTCTGATATCAGCACCAAACGAAATCATGATGAACCTGTCCTTAGCTGATCAACCTTGTTTCAAGCCCAGTCCATCCATCCACCCAAACAGGTTGCAAAAAGCACTGCCATATACTCGTCCTTATCTTGCTTAAATCTTCTGTGTACTGGTGTCACCAACTCTAAAATAAGAATTATGCCTTATGAACACTTATCCCAGAAACATAATTGATATTGCAGGATCGATGTTGATGTCAGTAATTAATTTAAATTTTGAAGCATTGTGTTCTATGCCTATTTACATCTTGTGTGATGGCTGCCACATGGTATTGCATGTCAATGAGCTGGTGTGTTGCATGCGACAATGATGCTAATGCCTGGCTCTCTGATTCAGATGTGTGAATAAGAGCCTTCATTGAGGTTAGCTAGTAAAAGTGTTTGAGCTCAGCTTTGCAAATATTGCTTATTTAATTGCTATTATATTATCTTTATGGATAATCCCACAACAGTGGTAAGGTACAAATGAATTGAAACAAAACTTCATAGATAAGGTAAAATTTAACTGTAAGCTTAACCCGCACCCTGTAGAGCTGTCCGCAGACCCTACCACCCGTAGGGGGGGGGGCGTTTCGCCCCCCCCCCCCCCAAGATCTCGGAAATTTACCGGCTGATTTTCAGAATTCAAACGGCGTTCGATAGCCCCACCCGGGAACTACCTTGTGACCAAATTTCATTGACCTAGGTCAAACCGATGACGTCACAGGTCAGGTTAAAGGTCGGATTTTCACCGTGCACAGGCATTTCAAGAAATGTGTTGTGAAATCGAGTAAATTGGTAAATTATTGAAAACCATCGATGGTAAATTGTTCGTCAAACACATACTTTGCTATCTGAGGTCACTGATACCAGGTCAGGTTACAGAGGTCAGGTCAATGGGGGTCACAACATGAAAGTGTTGTGGGATACATGTTTTATGGTCCATTTTACATGACAAATGCGATTATGTGGGTCAGGCAGCCTTTGGGGCCAGCTTAGGTTACATTCTGGTGAAGGTCAGGTCAAGGTCAGGTCAAATTAGGTCAAATTTTAAAGTTGATATTTTTGCATAAAATGGGTATCGATTCGATGCAGCTCGTCACGGCGAGTCTAACGGTGGTCTTTGTTTTGCCCTACGTGGTCTAGAATTGCCAAAAATTGAGTTTTGAAATTTTGACGTTAAATTTTTGAACAGTTTTTTCGCTATAACTTGGCCAAAAAAAGAGATGTCAATCTGAAATTTGGTATATAAATAGAAGACGGTAGGTACTATTATATAAATTCCGTTTTTTTAACTCAAAAAAAAACTTTTTGGATTTTTTGGCCAATATATCCAAAAACACTTTTTGATTTTTGGAGGTCAAAATTCAAAAATTTCAAAAATCCGAGATAGCAGTTCTGTAACCCTGTCAATTTTACACCTTATATGTTCGATCATTTTTCTGTGTCTTCAAAGCTGTAGGCCTGACAGCTCTTCTCGCGAAGCTCTTTTCGGTCGGAAATGGCAGAACATGACATCATTCTGACATCATTTATGGCCAACCTATCATAGCCTCTGGAAAAAAAAATGGTCACAATGTGTAAAATTGATGCCCGGAGGGGTCCTGAAAGTTAAGTGGTGATATCTGCAGCCGTTTAGGAGATATCGACAGAAAAGGACAGGGGGGGGGGGCGTTTTTGCCCCTCTGTACGGGGCGCTGGTTAAGAAGATTACAGCATCTCTGAGCAAAGTGAGCATCCATTCCATATCCATCAGATGAATTTCAATCCAAGCCACTATAAAGACTAGCTTATTGTAAAAAAGTCTTGACTGCAAATGAAAAACTACAACAAACCAACAAACAATAAGGGTGGGTACCTACCTATGTTTACGGTACAAAAATCTTAAAATTGAGTTTGCTTTCTTACACCAGCAAATGGTTCTGATACAACGCGTAGGGTGAAGGCAAACTAAAATGACTATCATCGTTAATTTGCACCTCAATAAACAAGAGAAGTGGCTTAATGGAAGCGGAAGCCGGCAAAACTACAACTTGAGCTTTCATGAGGCATACTCCCATGACGATAGTAACCGATGAAATGTTTCGCATTACACAAGCGTGGCTAATGCTCGCTGCTTACCAATTTCCTTTCCAATGCACTATCAGGCCGCCTAATATAAGAACCACCGAATTGTATTACTGCCTACTATTTTCCGAACTATTTTCCGTTCCCTCAATTCTGTGTCACAAAGACCCCAAAATGGCCGAAAATGCTGCATGCTAAATTACCGCACCTAAATTGTTACACGTCTCGATATGCTGAAATGGCTATAGGAATAGTGGGAATGACGGCATTATAATATATGGTTGAAATGTGAGAAACGCATACATTTCGGTTGGTTAATCATGTAACTACCTGGTGGCTACCAAGACCACAATTTGTAGTTTCGAGCCTTATAAGATTTCCATCAACATGGGCTACGTATCTCGTAAAAGCTAATTATTCATCAAAATGTAATCATATCATGTATAAACAAATCTCTTAAAAATATTGGTAGCCCTACGCTACCCATATTGTTAAGATTGTTGGGTTCTATTGGAAGATATTCGTCTTCAATTTTCCCCCTAACTCCACCTATTGAAGGATGCAGATGGGCAGAACCCAAAGGGACAGAAATTGAAATGTGTTTAAAAGAAATCATATCAACTAGAATTGAATTCCAATAAGAAAATGCGTTTAAAAAATGAGTGTGATATTGCATTATGAACATTTGTTTTCTTTGTTTTTTATTTCTCAGCTTGTAGCTTTCGTCGAAAATAACACGCATAATTATTTGGTGGATGCATTTTATTTTTTGGCGCTAATGCGCCGTTGCTTGAAATTGTAAACAATTCATTTATACACTACCCACCTTGCTACCATTATTTATATACACACTTTGCTACCCACACGGGCTTGAGGTAATTCTGATTCTCAATCTTTTTCCCGTATTTTACAGTATTTACATTCACTGTAGCTACAAAGACCAGGCAGGTAATAGGCTCGCGAGTCTTACTTATACTTATGAATCGCGGAATTTAGAAAGGCCAATTAATTCAGTGTGGCCTTTTACTAGGATCCGGATTCCGGACTTCACTTGCCCAGCTGTTTGTATTGAGAAATGACTAATGAGTCAGTATGAGTAGTGTTTCAGTCGAGAAGGGTGGGTCATGTGCATGAAGTAGTGTGCCCAGTGAGTGTCGAGTCCAGCACTGAATGATTTGACTGAAGTCTGAAGGTGCATCAAGGCCGAAGGCGCATCTGAACTACCTACAGTCAATTCCAGTTCACACTCCTGCCTTCAGTTGTTTCTGCCCCAAGTCTAAATTTCTTCAAAGCCGGGCTGGACATGCAGTGTCCGCAGTGGGCCAGTAGGCACATTTGAAATACCCACAATACCTACCCATGTCACATACATAACGGTGCAAAATATGACAAAGAGTGTACCCATGGGTGCATTGTAGTCTGTTAAATACAGCAAAAACGTATCACAAGCCTCTTATGAGACTGATAGCAGTGTACCAGGTGCTTCATGGGACACATCCCAGTTCTTCATGCCAGAGATGACGTCCTGGACCCGTGGTCACATGTGGAAGCTCTTCAAGTCCACAGCCACCTCCAGAGCCAGATGAAATTCATTCAGGGTTTGGGTTAGTTGTGAGTGATTGGAATTCACCATTAACGGACAGGGATATTACAATAGGATGCACAAAAATTATTTGTTAATATTGGTGGTTTATGTACAAGAAAGCTTGACCTGTTGGCATTATTGAAAATCATGTTCAATAACAATAATATTATTTAATCATGTTCAACAAATGTTTATTAGTGTAGTGGATATGTACCGAAACTCAGCTGATTTTAAGACGAAATAAATGCATTGCTCTGCCTCGCATTGTGTCACCAGTTGCATTTCTCCACTGGCAGATGCTGGTAAACAACCCACACTCGATCGAGTCGGCGTGGACGCAGCCGGTGTCCGGCCTGGCGGCGCCGGCGGCCCCGGCGGCCGGGCCGCGGCCACAGCTGGTGCGCATCTCGGACCTGCGCGCGCTGCTGGACGGCGCGCCGCTGGGCCGGTTCGACATGCGGCCCGACACGGAGGCCGTGTTTGACGCGCTGTGCGACCGCGAGCGCGGCCGGCCGGAGAAGGTGCTCATGAAGGAGTGGACGCCCCGGCCGGCCGGCGGCCAGCTGCACATCGACGGATGGTGCTGGACCCGGTCAGTAGTCTCCGTACGCGCCGCCGGACAGACGCGGCACCGGACGATAGTTCGCCGTTTGGCATCTTCTGCCGAGTATTCCTATAATTTGAGATATGCTGTGTTCAGCGTGAACTTCCTGATTGCACTTAATAATATGCACCTAACTTTAAGATTGGTTGTTAAGACATGACAGGCAGCTGATTCTACAACACCTTTTTTGTTACTCCATCCAATAGGTCATGGCGCCCCGTTACATGAGCGACCCTTCTTCTCCTTTCTAGACCACGACATCCGCGAGAGCCTATCCTGCTGGCGGTTGCGCTGTGGGAGACGATAGTCCGGAGGACGTTCGGCTTCTGGAATCGAACACGGATCCTTCTGAATCCCGAACAGCCACCTTACCAACTGCGCCATCGGGGCTGCCGTTGCCCGTTACGGCCGTTTTGACGACCATAACGGCAATTACTTCTATATTCTATAATATCCTAAAGTTGTTTATCCATGCGTTTGAGCTTGATCTTTCTCCCCAGAGGTGTGAGGTCATTCGTCTCCAGTGCGCCCATTTGTCATTGGTTCTCGGAGCGTGAGGTCAAGGCCACTGACGGCCAGGTGTACGTACTGGAGGGCAGGCTAAGCGTGGCGCTGGCGGAGAAATACGGTGAGTTGGAGCTCACGGTAGGGTGCCCGTCCCTACAGCCCCCGGTACTTTATCTGCTAGCAATTTTTAGCCGAAGTGCTGAAGACTGTCATTCACGCGAAGTTAACGTGCATATTCATTTTCTACCTGTTTTACGCACGTTATTTGCGGTTTGCGGCCATCCAAGACAATGAAATATTTCTTCATTGAATTTGTACCGAGTCAATCCAATAAGCTGGCGTTTTTTATAGTGTTTGAGAATGATTGGTGTAGTTGAACGCCTGACGGCACTGAGCTCCCTCTCACTTTGGGTCGTTGTTCTCTTCCTCCGCCAGCTCTGCCCGTGTTGGCTCGTCTCACCTTCGCCACCGGCTTCCCCAGTCAGTGGCAGCTGCTGGCCAAAGAGCTGCACCTCCTAACAGGTGAGAGGTGAATTGTGCGCCCATCCCGGCTCTGTGTCCGATGTTCTGTGTATGTGTAAGCCGCAGTGGCGTCTAGCGTGGTTATCTTTTTTATCCGAATAATGTTGTGCCGTCTGATGGTACTAAACTACATTAATTCATTTGATGTTTATTCCATTGCATTGCACACCAGATACACGTTTTTATGTAAACCCAATGAAATTTATTGTTTGCATTAGCACCATACCATCGTGTAGTTTTATCGATATTCAGTCGACACGGCTATATAACAAATGTCTTTGTTGGCCGGCAGTCGGGCAGGAGGCGGTGCGGCGACAGCCTGACCTCGTCTCGCAGCACAACTCCGACAGCCCCGGCCGCACCGCTGGGAAGCCGCCGCAGCAGCCGGACTCCGACTCGGGGTCGGGCTCGGAGCTCCCTCAGCCGCAGTCCGCGCCCGGCTCAAAGACCGCTCAGCCGCAGCCAAAGGCCGGTTCGAAGGCCGCCAGGTCGCAGCTGGAGCCTAGTTCGAAGGCCGCTCCAGCCAAGAGGCAGACGAGGAAGCGGGCAGCGCCGGGGAGCAGCCAGCCAGTGCCGACCGCAGCAGGCGGCGCGGCGCAGCCGGAACCTCCCGGGACTCCTCCGTTACCGGAGGAGCCGTCAGCGGCGCCGGCCAACGCCCGCGGAAGAGCGGCGTCGCGCGGCCGGTGGACAGCGCAGCCGGCGCCCTCGTCGCCGCCGGAGTCATCGACGAAGTCATCGACGAAGTCATCGAGCCCGGCCGCCAGTGAGCGCAGTTCGCTGGACGACACGATGGCGCCGCTGACACGGGCCATGTCGGAGACCATGTACGACCGGCTGAAGAAGGACACGCGCCGCCGCAGCCCCCGCGTCTTTCTCCACCGGCTGGCAGAGGAGCCGCGGCAGGCGCCGCCGGCGCGGGCCGCCGCCGGGCGCCGCGGTCGTACTCCCGCGGCGGGGACGGCGGCGGCTGAACACGGCCCGACGGGGCGGGCTGCTGCCGGGCGCCGCGGCCGTACTACCGCGGCGGCGGCGAGGACGGCCGCGGCGACCGAGGATGGCCCGTCGGCCGGTAAGAGAGCGCGCCGCGCCGCCGCCGCGGTCAGCGAGGCCGACACCGCCGCCCCACCCTCCGCCCGGACCCAGAGGAGGCGGCTGAGGCTGGCCAGCTCCCCGCCGGCCAGTCCTGTGAAGCCGGCGGAATGGGATTCCGACCTCGCGTCGATCACGCCGATCCCGAGCGCGTACCAAAAGCCGACCGCTCGCCGCCGCCGTCAGCCGGCCGAGGACGATCCAGCAATTCGGAAACACCCTCCGGCTAGGAAACCGGCGGGACGAGCGGCTCGGAAACAGCCCCCTCCTCCTCCAGAGACTATACAGGAAGAAGAGAGGGTCATGCATACAGACAGCTCCGACAGTGAAGTCCCTACTATGAAGGCCACCGCTGCAAGAGCTGCGCCCGCCAAGCGAGGCACTCGTGGCAAGAAAATACAACCTACTGATGAGGCGGCTGCACGTCACAGCCAGCCGACTGAAACTGATCCAGAAATAGCAGCTTCGAAAAACCCTTCGGCTAAAAGACCAGTAGGGCGAGCCCGAAAACAGGCCCCGTCCTCAGAGCCCCCAGCAGACGATACGGACACTGAAGGCCCTACCAAGAAGGTACCCGCTGCAAGAGCTGCACCGGCCAAGAGGGGCGCGCGCGCTAAGAAAACACAACCTACCGAAGAGCTCAGTGACGAGGAAAACGTCCCACCCGAAGTACAGTCTCAGAAACGTGGCGCCGCCCCTGCCAAAAAAGCGGCGCCGAGGAAGGGTGCAGCATCCAAGAAGGCCCCGCCGACAAAGGATGATCTACCGACTCTCACCGCTTATGGTGAGTACCAAGTACCAACTGATTGTGTTCGACGTTCGTGCTAATAGCTAACTGGGGTCCTTAACTTACGCGCCCTTACACCCAAAATCATGCCACTGTGCGTTTTGTTTTTATTCATTTGATTAAAGCTCAACGAAGGTTGTGTGTGACGTGTTAGGTAAGAGTTTGAGGATGGGTGCATAGTGACTCCTTGGTCGCCTGAGGAGGGTCTAGTGCAATGGGGGTCGTACTCGTCATGGTGATATGTGTGCCATGTCTATGCCTGTTCGGGTTCTGAGGCTACGGCCGGCCTCCCGGCCTGTGTTCTGACACGCTGATCTGGATGACTGACACGCTGGTCGCTGACCCCCAGTGTCTGAACGGCTCTGACGGGCCGCTGTCCCTCCGTACCGGACCGCTCTGACCCTCCCTGACCGCCGACAGACGAGTTCCGTCCGAGCGCGCGGCCCGGCACGCAGCGCTACCGGCTGGAGCAGATGGCCTTCCTGACGGCGCAGAACGACGCCGCCCAGCCGGACGATCTGTTCGGGGGCTGCCTGCTGGACTCGGGCGCCGGCGGCGGCGGCGGCGGCCTGCTCGGCCTGGCCGACGGGGAGCTGATGGCGGCCGTGACGCCGCTGGCGCCCGGCCGCGGCGGCGGCCGCCGGCCGGCCGCGCACAGCTCCCTGACTCCGGTGGCGGCCCTGGCCGCCGGCGGCGCCTACTCGGTCAAAACGCCCACCATGGCCACATCGACCATCAGCCCGGGCAACCCGCTCAACTCGGTCCACAGGTGAGGCGAGTCAAGGGGAGGTAACACAATACGGCTAGCCACAGTTCGCTCGTCTCTGCTTGCATGTGAGACAGACGGCTTGTCAGGCATGGCTGGACGCAAACAACCCTACCCGCCGATTATCTCGCCAGTGCAGTCGTCGCTTACTAAAATAAAACGAACTGCGAAGCAAAGCTATGTAGAAAACGACAAGCATCTGTATGACCTAGAGCTACATAGACCAACATACACGCCATGTACCCTGCTCTGCAGCCGACCGCCCCCACCGCTACCGCCACGGGTCGGTCCCGACTGACCGCTGACCCGCGCTACCGCCGCAGGGACGAGGCGGCTCGGTACATGGTGAACCGTAAGAAGCAGGCGGGCCCGGCGCGCCAGCGGCTGCGGATGGGCACGGACCGGCCGGCCGCTCCGAGCTTCAGCGGCTCGTCAGACATCGACAGCGCCGCCCGGGTAGGTGCAAGCCTGGCTAGAGCGTGGAGTGTGCGCGCCGCCTGAGGCACAAGTAGGGGAGGTGGGGACCAGTGCAGCCCGGATGACTAGGTGGGCCTTCCCGCGCTGGTACGGGCGCTGTCCACTCCACGAACCCTGCGGTACGCTTGGGTGGAGCAAGGTTAGGCAGGATGGGGATTTCATTTATCTCTTTTTTCAGTTTGCATGTCCCTTAATCGGCGCCCGGGAGACAGCATGCTTCATTGATTACTCCGTTTGCGAGAAGTTATAGGGAGTGGAAAATGATCACAGGGTGGCCCATGCCGGCGATACAAAATGGCCAATACGCCTCCCCCCCCCCCTCTTCGCCGGTGTCGTGCCATGTCTGGCAGACCTCTAATCCCCGTCCTGCGTCTTACAGTAGGTGTACTGTGTAAGCTGATGCCTCTCCCCCCATTCTGTAATGTCCGGCTGACCTGCCCTTTGTCTGTATGCCCGACTGACCCTCCCTTCTGTCTGTATGTGCGGCTGACTCGCCTCCTGTATGCCTCGCTGCCCCCCCCCCCCTCTCCCCCTCTTTGTCTTGTATGTCCGGCTGACCCGCCCTCTTTGTCTGTGTCTAACAGCTGATTGAAGAGGACGCCGCCTGGCTGCTGAGGGAAGACGACCCCTCCGACGAGCCGGCCGACGAGTACTTTGATTACGATGGGTGAGCCGGGGCCGTCCCAGTCAACGGTGCTCGCTGAAAGGTTATAGTGCAGAGACTTCCGTTTGTGTGTCCGAGCGACTCGTTTTATTGATTTGTGTACGTGAAAGCGGGGTGCTCGAATCGTTTGTACTGAGAAGACGTTCGTTGTTTGTGTTGAGGAGTTACTAAGCCGTGCCAAACCAGCTGAGGTAAGCGTAGTGTGGTCTGGTGGCTGTTTATCCAAGTAGATACCAGCTGTTAGCCGATGGGAACGCCGGTGTCTGACAGGCGACACTGGTGACACACGCCAGTCATTTGACCTGGTGAAGAGACGGCCGGGCGGCGTTCTTATGCGGCGATATAAACGGCCGGTCAGCTGATGAATGAGTTCGGATAGTTCACTTTCCGACGGATCGCTCGTTCCGCTATACAAACAGTTATAGTAGTCCCCGTCACGAAATGTGTGCGAGTTGCACCAGCTACTGTGCGGGCAGGGACCATTGGCGCGGATAGGGAGAACCTCTGATCTGGGCGCTGCAGCCGTGCACTGCAGATGCAGTCCAGATGCGTGCCTTTCAGAAATTCGGTGATCGTCACCGCTCTGCGGCCGTTGTTTTGAATATTATCGTTGAACGAGAATGACCGTGCTGCCAACGAAAGTTTGCATCATCTCTGGATCACTATAAATACACATTTTCATTCCACTCATCGTACATTGTTCTGCCCATACACCGTTCGAATAGGAAAGTGATTTTAGCTGATGATACTGAAATCAGTGAGCCATCATCCATTGGGCTGCCCTTGCTCCGTTGCTTTCCCTCCGTCACGGGCAGCGAGAGGGCGACACGAGTTCGAAAAAAAACTTGAGCCGAACGCTACGGGTATGTCTGTGTCACAAGAAACAGTTGACTTTATGATGCATCGCCTTAATGCCACCACGAGAAAACCCACTGTATATTCTGTGGAAAATTCAGTAGCGTTACAAGCTACTCATGCAGCATGGCGGATATTCGCTCAAATTGCATTTTTTTCTGCCTCAGACAGTGCGGTACAAACAAAACAAATATATTCAGACGCGTCAATTGATGGATCACATAGCACCGACATTATTTACCTACCCCCCCCCCCCTACATCCCCATTCAGTCCCAGAAGAAGGTGCCTCCCTGGTCGTCCTTGGGCAAGTCGCTGAAAAAGTCGGCCGCCGGCTTCACCTTGGACGAGGGCAGCAGTTTCTGAGCGTCGCCCTTTTTGGCGCGCTGCTGCCACTCCATGCCGCGCGTCTCGAAGCGCCGCTCGTACAGATAGGCCACGTCCCAGAAGCGCACCAGCTGGTCGTGCGAGCACGAGGCCAGCAGGCGGCCGTCGCGCGACATTGTCAGCGCCTCTACGGGCAGCTTGCGGTGCTGGCCGACCACGCCGAAATACTTGTACGGCAAGATGTTGCACGCCCTGTCGGTAAGGCACGCGGTGAACGATCAACGGATGACACTCGCCGAACGTGAACTATCGTAACTTGATTCATGTCAAACTTCAACAACGTCATCAGCGGAAAGGCATACGTGCTGTTCTTTGAGCTGGCCGGCTCGAAACACCGCTCCGGCTCGACCCACGTCTAGTCATCCAGTCACGGGAGAGGAGCCTGCGATCGTCACCCGCTCGGGCCCTGTGTAGTCACACCGACCGGCGCACATTCTGCTCGGACAACTCTAGCCAGCGGCCTATTGTGATTTGTGATATTGCGTGTAAGTAAGGTGTTGTGAAAAACCAGAACAGCCTTTGGATCTCCCTGAAAACATTGGCAATACAACACGTCAAACTTCACTAACTTTACTGTCAAACTACGTGCCATTCACGAAGTGGCAACAAAGTAAAGTGCGACCGATCTCAAGAAAAGAAGCCTACCAGTCAATCATCTATCGTGGGGGGGGGAGATCGGGGATGCCCAGTAACCACCAGCTCTCCATGGCCTGAGACAGGCCTCGACTGAAAAGGAAGATCCTCTCTCTCGGTGCCAGACGATAGACGGCCCTTCAATGGCGCTGATCTTGGCGCTGATCACGATCCTCCTCCCCCGACTGTTCAAAGATCGCGCTCCCACGACTAATCAGGGACACTTCTCGGGAGGCTGATCAGTGATCATGGACCTCTCCCTCTGACTGACCAGGGACACCTGTCCCTCCCACTGACCGATAGACAATGCCCCTCTGACTGACCAGGGACGCCTGTCCCTCCCATTGACCGATAGACAATGCCCCTCCCCGACTGACCTGATCTCTCCGTCGTCGTACCCCATGATGACCAGCGAGTCGGTGGCCGCCACCATAGCGTTGATCGACGACGGGTGGCCCTTGAACACATTCACCTGAAAAAACAGGGTGTCAACTACCGCTGAATAACTAGTTCGATTAGCTGACAAAGGCAAGATGGTTACGTTTTCATGTTTGTAACGCAGAGAACAAACCATGCTGAACAAACCAATTAAAGCGCCTCAGTAATTAAATGATAGTTTCATTAAGAAATGGCAATACGTGACCTTCGTACAAGGCTTACATTTTCCATCTTTTTGTCACATTACTAATGAAATCGTAGAATAAAATAATTATATCACAAATCTGTCGGTTTTCCGGTGTTACCATGAACTCACGTGTTCGCCAAAGTGTCCCCATTTGAAGATGGGCACCTTGCCCTGGTCGGAGGCCATGCCCACGGCCAGCTTCTTCTGCTCCTTGATGAACGTCATACAGGTCAGCGGCGCCTCGTACATGTCGCACTGTCGGGACGGGCGGCAGGGTCATTGGCGTCACACGCTGTTCAACATGTACTCGTATTCTGAGGATGGAAGAGAGTGGCACTCCAGCTGTACGTTTCACGGATATTTCGACTTCCCAAACATCGCGGTTGCCACTTCACTCGCCTGTTTCATTCATTGGGTGATACCGCGGTAGCTGCTCTTGATCCTTGACTAACTCTGATGTTTATTGCGTTGCCGCTCTTCATTGCAGGACGCAGGTATTTACGGTAGTTAGGTACCTAACATACCTCATACCTGGGTGTGGACGGTGCGGCTGCGCAGGCTGAAGGAGGTGATGGTGCCCTCGCCCGACGACGCCACCAGGTAGCGCTGGTCGTCGTCGGCGATCAGGTCGCTGATGTAGTCCTCGCACTGTTTGACGCTCATCACTTCCTTCCGCGCCCGGTAGTCCCACACTGAAAGGCGATGGAAAAAGAAACGGCGTCGGAATCATGGGGATGCATGGAACGAGATGTTATAAAACAAGTTAACGTCGCGTACTTCGGAAACAAGAGTTACGCTGATAATTGCTCACACTTAACGGCGTAGCTTTTGAGGGCCGACGATCCCAGTATATGCAATCGACTTATTGCACCAGCCGCTGTGTATCCCATCCAACGTCCGCCCGGTGCCCCTCCCTCTAACACTACCACCTCCGTCCACGATGCTACTCGTCTATGTGAAGCGCCGCTCACGTTTGACGGTGCCGTCATCGTCGCCCGAGGCCACGATCCGCTCGGTGAGCGGCAGCACACTGTAGACGCCGGACGGGTGGGCGGCCGGCAGGCGCCGCTTCAGCGCGCCCGTCTCCATGCTGTGGATGCGCAGCGATCCGTCCGCCCAGCCGGAGAACAGCTGGCCGCCGTCGCCGGAGAACTCGAGCGCGCGACACGTCGACCGGCACTTGGGCAGCGTCAGCGCCAGGTCACTCCGCTCGGCGCTGTAGCTGTGGCTGTGGGGATGGGGTGGCGGGAGGAGTTGGTCAGGTGATGAAGGTACAGTGCATTGACACTTAAGAAAATCTACAAAACTGATAGCTATGCATGACGCCTTATAGTCATCACTCAGCTATACACTTCTGGCTTCAGTATCTTTATTCTTGAAACCCATAAACGCAACTGATGGTTCCCAAAAGACAAGACAGTCATTATTTATTTGGGCACACTTAACAAGATGGGAGACATTTTAAGGAGCTTACATGGCTATTTTCCCATCAACTGTGGAGATCACCAGTCTGTCTGCCTGAGGGTGGAACTTGAGGTTCAGCACATCACACTTGTGCTTGATGTCAGGTGGTGCTGTGCGCTGGGGAAGTTTGGTGCTGTATCCCCAGATCTCTTCTGGCTTGGCAGCCTCCACATCATCATCTTCCTCCTCTGAACTGTCAGACTCAGAGCTGTTGGCAGCTGGCACCTCCGCTGCAGTGGAGTCATCCAGCTTCTGTCTCTTGCTCATGTTTAAAGCTGAAAATACGATACCATATTGTGATTGCTAGACAAATAGACATCCTATTCTGTGACGAAAGGCTACCTAGCAATTAGCATATTTGAGATCTAACTCTTAATTGCATACTCACCACAATATAGAAATGCGAGTCACGGTTGACATCATGTGACCGGCTGACCGCCCTTGCGTTACAGTAATGCCCAGCACAATTGATGTTGAAGCATGTTATCCATTGTCATATGATAAAAATAAATGAAAAGACCAAGACAAATGCAGCTTTCACTTTGAATTATTGAAGAACTTTGACTTCAGTAGCGATTCAGATTCCGGATTCAGATCAAAATACACTGACACATCGTTATAAGAATTTGAGATGAGACTTACAAAAAAAAATAAGTTGAGAACAGCCTAGGAGAGAATCAGACTAATTTTTTCGTTTTACTTCAGCCCCACAGACAGAAAAAAATACGAAAATATCTTTAAATTCACGCCAACCCACGCAAGCGTGCAAGGAGCACTCAACGTGAACTAAGCCTAGTGTTCAATATCTACGAAACAGCATGCGCACGCAGTCTATAGCATCATGCTCGCCATTGATTCGTCAATTCTGCTGAGATCAGAGACCAGCAGCAACATAGAACATAATTTCGACAATCTTAAGAAACAACTGCGCCAGAAACGTAGAAGCATTTGTAAACAAAAATTAGACTGCGTGCTGTCAGTCGTGTTTTTATTAATTTATGGGTAGGTTTTAGCTAGAATTAGTTAATATGATGGTCGCGAGCGCTTACCGGACTTTTTTCTATCGCCTAAGTAAGTCAAACAACATTGGAGCTATATTAACAAGAGCTCTTTCGGTTCAGACCGAAGCCATTTCCAAAAATCAGAATGCCAGTTTTCCTGTGCTTGAAGTTGAAGTTGACTGCAATGATCAATCCTATCAAAATGCAACAGAGAAAGGAATGAAATCCATACAACAGCTGGATAAAATTATGGCAGTGCTTTCAGATGGAGGTAAGATTGCATTTTTTGTTGTTCATCTTATTGTAACACTGGAACACATGAAATATCTAATGAATATGTATATGTGAAATCATGGAATAATGAACATATTTGCTTCATTTTTCAGGAGGAGAGAAGGCGCGGAAGCGGCACACTGAGCTGAACAAGAAACTGCTGGTCTGGGACCGTATTTCACGGCTCGTTGACCCTGGCTCGGAGATGATTGACCTGGCCCCTCTGGCTGGGCTCAATCTTGCCTATGGAGACATTCCGTATGGTGGAATGGTTTGTGGTTAGTGTGTATTCAGCTGGAGGCTTTGTGGTTCAAATGGATTAGCTTAGTACCTACCTACCAAGACAAGATTTAACAGTTGTGAATGAACAGAAATGATGCTGATGTGTGCATGAAGTATTTTACATTTTTAATGTGGGCTGCTGCAGTTTCAAATTGGATTAAGGATTTTGATAATCTTGGTACAAACTCAGCTGGTTGCTGGCTGACACATTTGTATGGTTTCAGTGATTGCCAAAGTGAGGGGCAGGTACTGCTCCATCACTGCCAATGATGGTACGGTGAAAGGAGGAACCTATTTCCCCATCACAGTTACCAAGGCTCTCCGTGCACAGCATGTGAGTCTCCAGCTGTAGGTTGTAATGTTTGTCATGTGGCAGCAGCAATGACAAAGTAACTGCTGAGTAATGTTGCATGGTATACATTGTTCACTATTTCTCTAGGCAAGGTGCAATTATTAGATCTTTTTGGCACAGTATATTAATTTGAACCCTTGTCCCGGTTCAGGTTTAACCATTCTACACCAATCGGGCGCGACACTATGTTGTAAGCGATGTTTAAACAAACCATCTCATTACGAGTTTGTTTAGAGTCAGTGTTTCTGTTTCTGCGTCAGATCTCTGCTCTGCACCGTCTGCCGTCCATCTGTCTGGTGGACAGCGGCGGCGGCTTCCTGCCGCTGCAGGCCGAGCTGTTCCCCGACAAGCAGCACGGCGGGCGCAGCTTCCACAACCAGGCGGTGTTGTCGGCGGCTGGCGTGCCGCAGGTGGCCGTCGTCTGCGGCAGCTGCACCGCCGGCGGTGAGATAACGGGAGGCTGGGAACAGGGATGAGGAAGGCGCCCGTCGTCTGCGGCAGCTGCACCGCTGGCGGTAAGACCGCAACCCTGGAGGGCGGGGAGAGGGCGGAATGGGGATAAGGAATGTAAGTGGTCTTCGAGGATAAGGAAGGTGGCCGTTGTCTGCGGCAGCTGCACCGCCGGCGGTGAGCGAATAACTCTGAGGACCGGGGATGGGGCGGAACGGGGGTAAGGAATGTATGTGGTCTGCGGGTATAAAGAAAACCACCTATGATTTTTTCATCGTAAAAGCAGATTTGGCTAATGTTGACTTAGGCTGTAGGTAGGTACTAATGGACCGTTGTACGACGCCACGGTCTCTCACCCGCGTTCTCACCTCTCATCTTCTCTCTTCCCGTGCGCAGGTGCGTACGCGCCGACGATGTCTGACGAGGCGGTGATGGTGGACCGGATCGGAACGCTGTTCCTGGGCGGACCGCCGCTGGTGCGCGCCGCGCTCGGCGAGGTCATCTCGGAGGAGGAGCTCGGTGAGCGAACCGAACCGCGCTGATGGTGGCCGGCCATGTCTCGGGGACGTACCGGTGGCCTGGGGACGGAGAAGTACCAACCCCAATTATCATTTACCAGTCGTTTTTGTATCAGGTGCTTGTCGATGCCGCCATTTTCATTTTGGCCTTTTCATCAAGTGACTGACTCTTGAATCTGAGTCGATGCTCCTCTTGCTGAGCAGGTACCAGAAACCCCTATCCCACGACCCACTAGGTATTTATCTCGCCCATTTCTGACGTCTGTCCGTCTCCGTCCGTTTCCGTCCGTCCCAGGCGGCGCCCGGCTGCACTGCGGCGTCTCGGGCTGCTGTGACATGTTCGCCGCCGACGAGGATGAGGCGTTCGCCACCACGCGAGACATCATCGAGTCGCTGAACCTACCGGAGGCCAGGGAGGATGTCAGCGAGCCGCCGCTGGTCGCCCCCGACCGGCTGGACAGTGAGTATCACCGGCGCACAGTCGTGTGAAATGCAGTCATGCTGTCTGTTACTGGAAATCTGGAAATACGATGGAAGAGGTTTGTTCGATTACCGCAGCAGCTCGTATAACTGTGACACCGAACGAGAACCATAGCATGGTTAACTAATTAGAGGAATTTATATATTTCTTATGCATTGTATGTATTACAAAGTAACCGCGAACTGAACCGCGCCGACGGTGGTTGTCTGTTGATTGTCCATCTGAGCTGTGTCTGTGCCAGAAGGCCTGAAGATGAGCATCCTGGATGTAGTTGTCACTATTACGTCGCCACAGTGATTTGGTCCTTTTAAGTTGTGAACTATCTTTCCCGCTCCATATTATATTCTTTGGTTTGCCTCAGTCCTGACATTTAGTTTAATCGTTTTCAGCTCTGTCCGGTCTGAGTCAGCTATCGCGGGACGAGTTGAAGCTGGTGCTGGCCTCTGTCCTCGACGGCAGCCGCTTCCGCGAGTTCAAAGGCAGCTACGGAGTCAACGTGATCACCGGCTTCGGCAAACTGGGCGGGTGAGCGCTGCAGTGAGTGGGCGAACCGGACCGGCTAATTTGTCAGTAGTGGGTGGTATTTGTCGTAACGAGACGTTCAATTACGCGTTAAGACTACTCGATCTCGTTGGCGAATCAGTCAAAAATTGGGATGTCTGATGAAGAGTCCGTTTTACGAGCACCAGGCTAGAAATAGTAAATCCCAGCTGGCGCCTATAAAAAGGTCACTAGCTCGTTGCTCCTCGGACGTGCCCGCCCCGTGTTCGTCCTCCCTCTAACGACTCCCTCCCTCGTTATGTGTCCGATCGGGCGCCTGGTGGATGTGGTGGTCCTCCCTCTAACGACTCCTTCCCTCTAACGACTCCTTCCCTCGCTGTGTGTTCCGATCAGGCGTCTGGTGGGCGTGGTGGCCAACCACGGCACGGTCACGGCCCGTGACGCGCTGAAGATGGCGCACCTGGTGGAGCTCTGTGACCAGCGCCACATCCCGCTGCTCTACCTGCAGAACGCGCCGCCAGACACGGGTAAAGTAGCCGACACAGATATAAAACTCACAGAATCGAGCGATGTTCTTACACTCATAGTCATAGTCGAGCATCATTCACCGCTTCGACATTCATTGCGTTTTTTAAGCTCGCATCATTTATCCCATCCAGTTATCATCCAGCTATCCCATCAGTCGTATAATTGACGGAACTGTCTGGTCTCGGTTGCCAACTTTTCTCCCCTGTCATCCCGGCAGTGGAGGAGTGCTCCGACCCGGAAGTGCTCAAGTGTCGCGCGCGGGCCGCCACCGTGCTGGCGGCCTCCCGAGTGCCGCGGATTAGCGTCAACCTCACCGGCTGCCATGGCGACCAGCACATGACTATGGTACGTCTGTCACGGTGACCAGCACATGACTATGGTACGTCTGCCACGGCGACCGGGAGATGACTATGGTACGTCTGCCACGGCGATCAGCACATGACTATGGTACGTCTGCCACGGCGACCAGCACATGACTATGGTACGTCTGCCACGGCGACCAGCACATGACTATGGTACGTCTGCCACGGCGACCAGCACATGACTATGGTATGTTTGCCACGGTGACTGGGATTTTTGTTTCTCATGCGGGCCGCATAAACGGTCAATGATTGTCCATCGCCTGGCACTTCGTATAGATTGTTGATTCCTTGGTCCTAAGTTCGTCACAGAATTGAAGTGAATGCGTTTGATGCGTCCACCACGCACAGCGTCATCTCTCATGAGGTTTTCTCGTTTCAGTGCGGCATTTCCTTCGAGCCGAGTTTCTACTTCGCGTGGCCTCGTGCCAAGTTCTCGGGCGTGTCCCTGTCGGCCGCCGCTCCGGCTCCTGACGAGGCAGCGGCGGCTCCCCCTCGGCCGGGGAAGCCTCCTTCGCCGGCCGATAAACCGACCAAGCCGGGCCGGCCGGCCAAGCCGCCGCCGCTCATCCAGCTGCCAAAGGACTCGAGTCTGTACTACGCGTCACGGGTGCTGATTGACGGCGTCATCCGGCCCAGGGACACCAGGAAGGTGGGTGGACGGTGGTGGCGGCGGTGGGGACATTGTAGACGCACTAGCAGTGGTGCGACTGTTGCAAGTTATCAATGCATAATGTGTTTCATCAACCAGCTACGGAAAGCCTAACAGGTAGCAGATACTATTTTTTTATGTCTGGAAATGTGTGCTTATTTGGTTTTGCACCAGGAAGCGATCGGAACCGAATTTCCGGAAGGTACAGTCAGTTTGGGAAGCATTTGCGCCATAACCTATCCCCTTGCCGGATGTTTCAGACGCTGGAGCTGGCCCTGGCCGTGGTCAGCTGGAACACTCCGCAGCAGGAGAGGCGGCACCCGGTCATCCGCATGTAGGAGGCTAGGGACTACTGGCGACTACCTCCTGAACGGCGGCATCCGGAGTTATCGTGGCACGGCACGGCCAAGAGTTATCGCTGAACTCCAGCACGGCGGCGCCTGGAGTTATCGTGGCACGTCACGGCCCGAGTTACCGCTGAACTCCAGCACGGCGGCGCCTCAGAGCTAGGTATCCCCGAAACTCCCCTGTCGGCGGCGCCAGCCTTGATGGATGACGGGGCACTCGGAGTGGTTTCGTAGGGTTTCGGTGAAGTGTCCTTATTATGTCCTTGTTATGTAGATGATTTGTGATGAATCGGTGCTCAATAATGAAGTTCTCCCCAGTTGGAAGTTCGCCCCGTGTTATGGATTGACAGTGGTTTTGTGTGCGATGCTTTGGCTGGATAATCGCCACGCAGTGAAATTTAGTGTGATAAGGGTCTAAGGGAGTCGATTTGCCGTCAAATCCCAAAACAAAATGCACTGGAAAACGCGTTTAGCTTTCTGTCAGTTTTGCGGGCAGATTGTGTCGCCTTACTGGTATTTTTACCCCGTGTTGGAATGAGCGTTTTTGGGGTGTTTGAATGTTATGGAGATCGTTACTCGCTAGGTGGCAGAAACACGCAGAGAACTATCGATATTGGTTTATAGTGTGAATATTGCAGTGGCTGTTCCCCGTCGCGTCGAGTGATAATGTTCAAATGGTCTGCCTCAGCGGGAGCCGTCCCAGGAGGCCAAAACAGAAACAATGCAATTAGGTGTAAGGCAATGCGATGAAATGAATATATACCCACAATTGGCTTGTGAATAGTGATGTTTTTATAATATGCAGCTGACTTTTTTTACAACTTAGGTAGGATGTGGACTGAATCTATTGCGGTCAATGTGACGATAAAGGTCAATCGGGCTTGTGATGTTCGTCCGACGGACTGAAGCAAAAAAAAACTTTCAGCCCCATCGCTGACCGCACCCACCCGTAATTGATCACACATGTATCTCACCTTCCTCTTCCGGTCGACAGCACTTGCTAAGCGCGTGCCTATTGCGTAGACATAAACAGAGACTATCGCGCAGGTCTTGGCCTGTGAAAATTTTTCGGGTCACAAGTTCCGTAGTTTTGTTGATGTATGAGCGTCAAGATGAGGAACAGAGAACGATCACGCGCTTTTGACAAGTGAAAACGCAGTTATCCATGTGGCGCCCCGTTTGCAGTGTGAAACACTGAAACGTGAAACTTCCGAGCATGCAGGAATGCATTAGTGTGCGCACTTTCGCTCGTGTTTGGCAGAAAGAACAAACAAATAAAAGTAGCATCAGCATATACGTACGTGTATTGCACAGCTTGGATAAATCACGTTCACTCACACAAAGTACACTTCCAACATCTCAATCGGATCCTACGTTTCATGCCGCGTCCCTGGTACATACATCCGGCAAGGTATCAAACTGGCATCAATCATTTGCAGCCAAGCACACTCCGGGCCGCTGCTCACAGTATACAAACGCCCCCAGACCTCGGGGCGCGTGCGACGTCACTAGGGCGTCTCGGCCGGCTGGAAGCGCGGCACGCCGTCGGTCTCATCCCCGGGGTCCTCGAGGTGTTCCGTGGTCTCCTTCCCCTGCCCGCCGTCCCCCGCCTTCTCCCTCTCTGCCTGTTTGGCCTGCACGGCCGGGAAGCCGTACAGCAGCCAGCGGTAGAAGGCCTGCTTCTGGGACTGGGTCAGCACGGCGTCGCCCGGCCAGGGGTGCTCGCGCTCCATCATGTCCGTCAGCGTCTCGGTCACCATCACCGGCAGCCGCACGCTGTGGAACAGCACCACCTTGCCGACGGCCGCGTACGCCATGCAGGGCGCGTTGGCGCCGCCCGAGCCGTACCGACCGGCCGCGAACGCCGTCACCGGCTCCTCGAACAGGAACTGCACCGCCTGCTTCTCCTAGAGGCGGAGGGAAGAAAAGGTGAGTGAGCAGCATAATCCACGGCGAACGCCGTCACCGGCTCCTCGAACAGAAACTGCACCGCCTGCTTCTCCTGAGAGGAGGGGCCGGAGGGCAGTGAGCTGCAGGAGAGGCGAGAAGCAATTTCATACAAATGTGCGACCAGCGAGTACAGTAATTGACGATCGCGAAATGCACGAAGATAAAGGCCGATTCCTAAATCCATTTTACGCCAGAAATGTATCTCGCCTCTACACCACGTATGTATGTTCAATGTTGTATGTTGTACCAGTATATGTAGAGGTCTACTGATAAACAGAAGTTAATCGAACAGTCACCGACCCCGAAGCACTACCTCCAAACCTGACATCCCCCACCCCTCTCGGGTTCGACTGAGCCCCGGCCTTCGCCCGCTCACAGCTGAGACTACCGGACCGCCCGGTTCGGTAACACACGTACCTGGTTGATGATGAACGTGTGGCCGTCCCAGGATGTGACGATCAGCTCGTCGTTGCCGTCGGACGTCACGTCCAGCTTGGTCAGACAAAACAGCTGGTGGTGCAGTGGCATCGACCTGGCGGAACGGGCCGGTCAGAATCACTTAGGGTTGAGTGGTGACATCGGGGTTCCTTTCATAGTTTTCAGCCACTTCTCAACAGCGAAATTTTTGACAATAACATAATTTTTCACTTATTTTATGTCGGGTGTATGCAGATGTAGCAATGGTTAGAACACATACCAAGTACCAACTGCATAAATCAACAGAGAGGAGACAATCTCCTGTGGTGTACGACAGCTGCGCAGCGCACCGTCACCAACATCTCTCTCACCAGCAGAGCTCGTTGTCTTTGACGTAGAAGAGGCTGCCGTCCAGTGTGATCATGGCGTAGGTGTTGGAGGCAGCCTCCCTCAGGCCGCCCAGCACCTCGCAGGAGACGTTGTGACGCGCCTTCACAGCCCGGCTGACGTCGTCAATCTCCACACTGTGACATTCACTGTGGGGAGGAGATGGCGTCACCATACTGCACACTGCAGATATACACTGTGGGTAAGTGACGTGATCAATCTCCACACTTCGACCTTCACTGCGAAAGGTGACGTAATCAATTCCATACACTGACATTCCCTGTGGGAGACAGTGACGTCATCAATCTCCACACTGTCACATTCCCTGCGGGAGAGTGACACAATTAGCACAGCCGCTACATCCAGTGCAGAAGGGTGACGTGTACACGAACTGTGTCCGATTTCATTGAAGTAAACTCAACAACAGCAATGACGGTCCCATGGGTCGACAGTGGCAGTACTTCAACTAACAAAGCAACAAGTCGACCTCGCCCCAGTCTCCACCGCGTCCCGAGTGCCTACCGCCCGTCCTCGTTCGTGGAGGAGCGGTACCGCAGGCGGACCACGGCCGCTCCCGGCTGGGAGACGAGCACCGACGGCCACCCGTCCTCCTCCACATTCAGCGAGATGTTACCGATCTGAGGGGAGCATTGGGGGAACGTTACCGATCTGACGGGAGAACGGGGAGATGTTACGGGGGAAAAGGGCATCGTTACCGGACGGATGGAAACGGGGGAAATGATGTTACCGTCTACCGATTTGACAGTATACAGGGGAAACATTATGAGATAACGACACCAAGGTAGGAGGAGACTGAGAAGAACTACAATGCATATAAAACAATATATGAATGAATGACCGTGCAAATCAAATAAAAGTTCGAGTATTGGAATAAGATGGCGAGGTCAGTATCTGAAAACTGATTTTGGCTCAAGAAGTCGTTCAACATTCGTCATAAAGCAAATATTTTCAATCCAGTGCTTAGTGTGACGTAGAGCCGCTGCCTTCGCATATATCGGCAGAAACACCTATCGCATCGTCTGCCTCAGCACAGCACTGGCCCTGACCGGTGCACGGCCCAGTATCTGCCCGCATACCACTGCGCTGGGATTATCCCCGCGGGTAACTGCACCGATCACCCACCTGCTGCATGAGCTCGCACTTGCTGATGGCTCGGAGGGCGTCCTCCTGCCAGCGGTAGACGCGCACCACGCGGTCCGTGAGGGCCACGACCAGCTCCACCCGGCCGTCCCGGTCCACGTCCGACAGCACCGCCGTCTGGCGGATACAGGACGAAACTAATGTTAGGGAAGCGCCGGTAGATGTCGGGCAGGCCCTAACACGTACCCAAGCCGAAATGGTAACATAAGTCGGTCCATTTATAAGATAAACAGTAAGTGGTGAGGTGAGCACACACAGAAATACGGTTACATTGTGCTGCATCAAAGGATGACACACCCGGTCTCATGCAACTGTCCCTGTTGGCCTCCAGCAATGAGCACAACGTAAATAAACGAGAAAACGACATTGCATGAAAAAAAAAAAATCGAAAATACAGAGTAGCTAACACCTCCGTTCCGTCGTTTCCATCCTCAGGATACTGAAATCCTTCTCATCCACGCCGCAAACCCCACTCCGGGCTGGACAATGGACAGGCACCTTTCTCTCATGCGGGCTGCTCCCTTGGAGCGGCACCGCTGCTCCGAGGGAGCGCAACCCGTAGCCGGGTGCAGAGTGCTTGGGGGGCTGGTCGGCCTGTCCATTCGGACGGACTCAGCCCCGGCGACTCTCTAGGGTGTCTGCCCAGACCAATGTCTCCCCCTAATTCCAATCAACCTCAACAAAACAAACAAGCAAACAAAACAAACAGACAAAGTAGCTAACATCAGCTACACTTAATGGCACAGGTCGCTGACTAGATATGAGAAATAATGTTACATTAAATTATGATTTATGTGTAACGAAACGTGCGGGTTGTATCGTGGTGGCTGCTGTGGTCACACCCCGCTCTATAGCCTGGAGCCGCCGCTGAGCCGGCGCCGGTATCGTATGCAGTCTGGGCTGTGGCCGCCCGGGCCACCGCCGCCCCGCTCGCTGAATACAGTTCTCGGCTGGTACGGGTGGCGTCTGCACCCTGGGGTTCATCAAGCCATAAGCAAGCACACAAACACGAGTCATGACCAATCTCGCCCATCCCGGCTACCATTGACGTCCCCGTGCGCACCTTCACGTTGGCGGGGATCCTCTGGTCGCGGCGCTGTCGGATTCCCGTTTCGTCCACCTCAAACATGTGGATCCAACCGTTCCCGCTGATCGCGGCCAGAGTGTTACGTTCGGGGCTGACGAGCGGTCCGCAGCAGACGGCCGACACGAGGCCAAGGTCCGAGACGTGGCACAGCGGCTGCGTCTAATGGGACAGGGGGGGGGTCACAACAGACGGCCGACACGAGGCCCAGGTCTGAGACATGGCACAGAGCCTGTCGTGAAGCGTCAGGTCAGGACGAACGACGTAAGGGACGATGAACGAAGCAAGTACGATTAGTACATGCAAACACGACGATTCTTTTAACATGATTGTGGTATACAGACAACATGTGATCTCTTGGTTCAGAGTCAACGCACTGTAAAGGCCTGAGCAATACGAGATGCAACACATGCGTGACAGCGTAACCACGCATTGATCAGAAGGAAATGACTGATAAAATTCGAGTGACTCAGTAACGTGACTCCGATCGGCTCGGCCGCCTCACCTGGAGTCCTTTGAAGATGTAGAGCTCGCCGGTCTCGGTGCCGACCACCAGCTCGTTCTCGCCGTCGTTATCGACGTCGGCCAGCGTCAGCGCCGACGGCGACACGCCGCCGTGCACCTCCAGGTCCACGTGGCCGACGAACGACACCGTCCGCATTGTGGGGCGTGCGCTCACAGAGTTACACTCACAAACAGGCCGGTACTCAGCGAATGGCCACGTGATAGATCACAAACACAAGTCTTTGTCAGTTTTTGATCAGCAGCTCCGCTAATAACAGCCGGTGTCGGCAGGCTCCGCAGCTGACCAGCCGGTATCGGTCGCCCAGCCGGTGTCGGCGGCTCAGCGGCTGGCCGGGGTCCAGTTGAGCGGCCGCCGGTCCTCGGGCAGCTCGGGCTCCAGGCGGCGCCACCGGCTCGGCGGCCAGACCACGTGCGAGGCACGCGCCGTCACCAGGCCCACGGCCACCGGGCCGAGCAGGTTCGAGTCGAGCGAGTGGCCGCGGTTGTCGCCCTCCAGCCAGCAGTGGCCGTCCGGCACGCGCACCACCGTCTGTCGGTAGCCAAGTGTGCGCACCAGGTCCCCCTCCAGCCCCACCACACGCTTGATCAGCTTCTGGTCAGGCTCCTTGGGCGAGCTGAGTGAGACGATGGCGCCTGGAGCCAGCTGGAAGTTACGAATCGACCAACGATTCAGGAAGACGTAGTCGCCAAAGTCGCCATTGGGATTCAGAGCGGGCTGCATAGAAGAACCCTCAACCTGTCAAAATATGTGCAGTTAATTCAATTTTCTGCTCACGACTCAAGATTTGATGCATTACATATTACCTAATTTTTCATTACAGTTGAAAGAAAATAGATGTGAATATGATTTATGGTTAAATGAAACCTGCAAAAGTGAATCTAACTATGGGTGCTAAAAATCTTAAATTAATTGATTTGCTTCTTATAGCTGTTGAGGCAAAATGATACTAATACAAGCACCTGTTGATCAAGAAAAAGTCGCTGGCAAAAAGCTTAAGTTAGCCCCTTGGACCAGCAAGCCTAAAAAAATATATGTACTTTTCCTTCAGCAACAAACTAACCTTGGCCACATATCCGAAGACGTCAACAAAGGTTATCCCAACGGGGATGCTAAGGGCTACAGTTCGAAAAAGAGACCCAAGACGTGGCATTTGAGATCTCCAATTTTTCGATGCGATTAATAGAAACCTTTGGCCCTAAATACCACAGTGTATCTAAATACAAATAGAAACAACATACAACTACAAAAACACATACTTGAAAAACACCACAAAACAATTTAGCAGCACAGCCTAGGACATTCATCTCAAGTCCGTCATTTTTGTAGTGAGCTATTGCTACCAAATCGTAGGAAAAAGTAGTGAAAATTTCACCGAACTCAAAGGTTTCTCTTTGCTCGAGTCCAAAATTCCCGTGTTTTATGAAGCACTGATTCATTGAAATAATCTGATTCATGCATGAAATGCATGCAGAAAAGAGTTCGGAATATATCTTTATACCTTCTACATGAGAGTGCACCATAGCTTACACCAATCTTTACTTGCAACGTATCTAGCGTAAGAAAGGTGCACCATGCGTATTGCAATATTCCGTATAATACTGAATGGTCGTTCATGGTGGCCTGAGAGAAATTGTCTACATTTTTAGGTCAGATATTACATGTTACACGTCTACTGTAATGCCATATATAGGCTCTACTGTATTACGTGGAATGAATGGAACACCTAGCCACCAATCTCGGCAATGGCGCCTCTTCAAAGTTGTATCTTCTCACATTGGTACACAAGGCTAGCCGAGATTTTTAGCCCCTATCTCGCTAAAACAGCCCACGTGCAACCCACGACTTGATACGCTCCACATTTTTTGCCTACTGTTCTATTTTGCTGCGGAAAAGCGGAACACCAAATTGCGCCCGATCGCAGCCAGACTCCGATGTCTCAGCTCAAAGATGCATGACTGCATGAGTTATGGGCGACCTAACCCAGGGATTTCAGCTTGCTTGTTAGCAGAAAGGTTGAGCGGTAACATCCTTATCTAAATGTCTCCTGCGTCCCCTGTCAGCTTTGAGCTCATGACGGCAAGAGCTCAAAATAACTCGACTAAAGCAATCGCTAAGTGCGTGCGTCTTTCCAACCGTGCCAGACCACCCACAAGTGTGAACAGTGAACCGTCGGGTGTTGGAAGACGTCTGTTGACAAACCATCGTATCCAGTCCATATATAGGTATGTATTAGCAGTTCGACGTGACAAAACAATACGCCACCAGCTACTGCGTCGATAAAAGACAGCGGCCGAGCCGCCGCACCCCATCGCCACAGTGAGTGCTCAGTCGACACGGGAGTCCCGCGCCCGAACACCGCCCACAGGATAGCCAAAACCAGGCGCGCGCGTCTCGCCGCCGCTGCAGCAGCACGTGTCCGCGGGCGGCGCGACTAATCTTCGTCCTCGTCGCCGCCCTCGTCACTGTCATCCTCGTCGTCATCGGTCTCGAACGTGTCGTCGGGAATGTCGTACAGGATGATCATCTGCTTGTTGGGGTCCTTCATGATGAGGTACTTGCCGGCGTCGCGGCCGCGGATGATGTCCACGATGCAGCGCAGGATACCCCACGCGTTGTCCATCGACAGGTTGATTTGCGACGCGAACTCGCTCGGCTTGAACTGCATCACGTTGAGGATCACGTGCTTGCTCGAGTCCCGGGGCGCCACGCGCGACACGAAGCCGAACTTGATGATGTCTGATCCGGCGAGCAGCGACTGCACGGTCCACTTGGCCATCTTGCAGTTGTTGTTTTTGAGCTCGTTGGCGAGCACGGCGGCGCGCTGCGTGTCCAGCTTCTGACGCCAGTCGACGTTGTTGGCGTGCTTGGGGTCCCACTCGTTGAGCGCGCGGATGGTCATGAACTGGTCGGTGCCGAGTACGGCGGCGTCGTGCTCGGTGCGCACCACCAGCTGCACGTCGTCGCCCAGAGAGAACTGCCGGTACCGGTAGGCCACGGAGGCCACCGACTCTGGGTCGTCGTCCTCCTCGATGAACGGGTTCGGGTTCTCGAACTCGTAGCGCTTGTAGTCGTTCAGCAGCACCTGCACAGCGAGAACAGAGTAGGTGGACGTTAATAAGGAACACACACTTCAATACAAAATACGGGACGAAAAATAACAACAACGAACGATAAAACTAAAAAAGTAAAATTAAGGTGTTCACACATAAATGTCGACATGTAAGCCAAGCTGTCATGAATGACACTTATGATACTTATGCTCTGAATGATGCTTTTATCAGCAGTGCTCTACAAATCTCTGTACGGGCATGACTTATAATCCAACGCTAGCCTTAGTGCCGATCAAGCTGTCCAGTTAGTTCTTATAACGGCCAATGGCAGCCTCACCTGTTCGGGGAAGTTGTGGTTGATGAAGGTGGCCTCCATGGCCAGGTTGCGCGGCGAGTTGATGGATGGGCCCTCGTCGCTGGGCGGGTCGCGCGCCGTCTCCGACACCGTCACCAGGTCAAACTCGCTCTCGTCGCGCTTGTCGAAGAAGATGAGGTTGCCGATCTTCTGGACGACGATGTCCCAGGAGTAGTTGCTGCGCGTGCAGCACATGAGCGTGGCCAGAATCTCGTCGGTGGCGAACACGTTGCCGCCCGACTTGGCCAGTTTGCGGATCTCCGGGTCGTCGGTAGTGGTGACCTTGTGGTGGATGCGGTCGATGCGCTCCAGCCGCTCCGGCTTCTTCACGTTGATGCGGTCGACGGCCTTGTTGTAGTACTTGACGGCGCCGCACTTGAGCAGGTCCTTGGGCTCGCCGACGCTGGGCAGCGCCAGCTTCTGCAGCCGCGGGAAGTCCATCTCCTCGATGACCACCCAGTCGGGCCGCACCGTCACCGACGCGTCGCGGTTCTTCATCTGGAAGCGGTTGTAGTCGAAGCGCTGCCGGTTGCCGAACTGTTTCTGCAGCCGGCGCACCTGGCGCTGCCGGTTGGCGTCGCGCGTCTTCTCGCCCTTGGTCATGACGCGCGTGTCAGCCTGATTGCCGCGCTGCTGGTTCTGCATCTGCCGCTGACGGAAGTTGCGCTGGTAGCGGCCGCGGAACATGGGCTTCGGCACCTTGGGCTGCACCACCAGCTTGAAGCTGTCCTCGTCCTCCTCGTGCATGTAGGCGTACTGGCTGCCGCCGCCAAATTGCGAGTTGTACTTGTTGCCGTAACGGCGGTCCTGGAAGGCGCCCTCGCGCGCTGATAGCTCCGCCACCTTACCGATCCGATCGCCCTTCGAGAACGGCTGGTACGGCATATCAGAGAACTTGTCCACCGTGCCGGCTGGGCCCCAGCCCGTCTCGTTAATCTGAACTCTGGGCGGCACAAACTTGGCCATTGCGGGGCTGCTGTGTGGCACCAGATCAGGCTGAAAGATAAATTTAGCCATCAAAATGGGATTTGTCTTTGTATATTGACCTGACAGCAATCAAAGCACCATATTTGCACAGCAGTCTGTAATCAAGACCACAAAGAGACAAGTTTATCATGGGTGGATTCCCCTATCATGTTATCAAAGATGAGAAACATGAAATTCCTTTCTAAGTTAAGGCAAGAACATACATGGGTCAAAGACGTGTGCTTTACAACTTTCAAGTTTAATAACAGGATGCCTTAAAAGCAGTTTCATTGAACCATGCCATACCCGATGGTAATCCCAACTACTGCAGCCCAGGGGAGGCATTTTTCGCCTGCATTGCTTCTCTTACTAAAAATGTCTGAGCATGAGTGCTCTAGAGGTCACAGGCATGGCATATGGATATCTTTTGTCTACATATATAATGCAGCCAGTTTTGATACTATGAAGCCCTAAATGAATGTTCAGAGGGAAAATTGAAGCCAAATTCAAGATGAGAAGCTGCAAATACATAAAAAGACCTAGTATGTGTCATGATCATTTACAGGTCATTTGGGGTCAGATGAGGATGGACAATGCTGAAGACAGGGTGCCTGGGGTGATTTGCTCAAGGCTCTTGATATTCACTCGCACAAACCACGTGACAACCAGCGTGTAGAAGGGGTAGAGAGGGGGAGAACTTCTTAATAGCAACGTGACCAAATGTGCCCTCCAGCACCGTTTTCCCAAACGTCCATGAGGACAAGGTCAACATCAAAGTTGCCCTTTTCCCTAGAAAATGTTTGTCATTTGATGCATCTTGACATGGTAAATGGGACCCTGACATGTTGGTACCACACTATCTTCACCTGTGACTGTTTACATGGAAATGTTATGCCCACTTTTGACAGCCCGTTTACCAACCATATGGAACCCGCTGAAATCAATGGGCAAGTGGGAAAGATATAGTCAGTGAAATCTAAGAATGATGAAAACATACTTAAATTAAAGGATTTGAGCTACATCATAAGTTATTTACGTAAACACAGCAAACCTATGCATATGATATCAATATGGCTTTGGAAATTACTTTAAGCGAAAATCGAAGTGACCGGTTCATCCGGTTCACTTCAAGGCGACACACATCAACGCACATCGGTACTCAGCCAAAACGTGGAGATAACAGAAATTGAAATTAATTTTCATGAAAGCTTACCGAACTAATTCTGGAAAACCTCCAATAAATCAAATAAGTTAAAAAACTAATAAAAGTCTCTCACGCGGCGGGGGGGCTCTGGTATTAACTGGATAATTCGCCAGCTGACGCCGTATGGTGGCGCTAGTGGAGCAGCACCATATGACGTCAGCAGAAAACACCGTGAGCAGCTATGAAATGGGAGCGAGCACCACGGAAATATCGAAAGGTGATGGACATGTACTGACGTTGGTCATTCAAGTACCACCAACACCATACAAAAACCATATAATATCATCAAGACTGATTGTGGAATCGATTGCTTTGGGTATTTAAAACACATAAAAAATATTTGTAACCCAATTCTGAAACAGTATAAGGATATTCTTCTTTCTTACTTTTACCTTGTGGAGTACTTTTACTTGCTTTCTAGTGTGCCCATCACTATCTTGAAATCTGGATTGCAGCGCTGTAGGAAAACTTTTTTTTCATTTGTCATTTCTTCCTATTTTGAGCAGTGATAATTTATTTGGTTTTATACATTAAATAATGAAGACGGCTCCTAACTTTTTAGGGATCTGCATTGGCCCAGAGAGCAAAATCAGATATTTTCTAGAAACTTGAGGCCACTATTTTCTTATATGCTAGATAATATACTAATATTGACATGTAAAGAATGATACGGGTGTATAATTCTGCAGAAATATAAATTCAAAGTTTTTAAATTTTTCAAGA